AAATTTTGAGTGATTTCCGTTGACCGGCAGTACTAATTTACGCTATTTCTGATTTCTCAAAAAAAAAAACGCATGTAAATTTATAAAGCACTAATAATATCCCGCACTTTTATATACATTTTATTAGGCGTTCACTTGGTGTGGGACGTAGTGAGTGGTCTAGCGGTAGAAAGCTGGACTGATAACCCGTTAGTATCGAGTTCGAATCCGAGTTCAAGTCAGTAGACCGTCCCTGAGTTCACCCAACTCTGATCGGTACCTAACTCCTGTTAGGGGAAGTAAAGGCGGCTGGGCATAGTGCTGACCACACTATTTCTTCATATGCCGAGGTCACAGAAACAAGTGAACTCTACTTCACTTGCCCCATAGACCGTCAGGTTTGAAAGGGAAAATTTTCACTTGGTGTGCAATTCTTTTTTTTACGAGATTCTATTCTATTATAAAAAGTTTAAGTAATTAAAAATGGATAACAAATATTGTCTATGTCCTGAGTTGCCATCCCTCGTAATTTTATATTAGAATATTCGAGAAAGTTTAGGGGAGATCACTCCCGGTTTATTTATTTATTTGCTCCGTGAACTGTTCAGCTGCCGTCCAAAATCGTCAAGAACCCGTCAATTAGTGTCCACTATATCATCTCGTTTTTATTTGGTCTAGGGATGTGCCGCATGAATTTTCAGTCAACTAGATTTCCAGAGATTTTAACACATGTGATGGATGAGTCTAGCAGTTATTGTTCTATCCTACAGGTATAGAATAGCCTCATTGTCTACTTGTTTGCCGATAACGATTTGGGTGAAGTGTGGAGATTCATCCACGGAGTGATTTGGTCTCACGATAATGATGCAGGCGTTTTTTTTTGGCACATAAAATCTAAGAGAGGGTCCTCTAATAGCGCTTTGAGTATATTATTATCAACGTACAGTAACGAGTTCAATTTATATAGTTGTTATTTGATGATATGTTTTACTTACATGTTTAGCAATCTTTGCGTTTTTTTTCTTCTCGGTCATAACTAGTAATATAATCATTTTTTTTTTAAAATATATATTATGTTTGACAAAATCGTCTATGACGGTAAAAGTGTTAAACCACCATCTTGCCCTGCCTTTAACTCTACCATTTACCTGTATTCTTATTATTAAGTACCTGTTCTGCTTACCTGAAATCGTTGTAAAGTTGAGAGAAACTACTAATGTGATATAATTTAATATGATATAATTTAATATGTTATGTACGGAACATGCGAGTGCTATCAGCCGTGACAAAGCGCTAACGTTGTGTAGCATCATGTAACACCTGAGTGCCATTTAGAAAACCCCAGCTATTAAAGCATGATTCATTCATGAATCGGCGGTTCACACGCTCTGACTTTGTAAATATTCCTATTTAGACCTAGTAATCTATTGAGCAGATGAAGTAGAGCTCTTTTTTCTTATACCCGGCGTATGAAGTATTGTGTGGTCAGCTTTACATACAGCAGTCTTACCTTCCCCTGCGTAAGTCAGGTACACATCAATCAACAACTTATTACTAATCCATGTATTGCATTGTTCTTTCATTTCGATTAAGTCGACATCCGTAATTTTCATTGGACAAGGTAATAGGTAATGTATTAAAGGAGGCCTTTTCCCACGTTTTCTTTAACTTGCTTTAGCGTCTGTTTGTTTGTTTGTTTGTCTTTCAAACAAATCTTGCGATCAAAATTTCGGGCACTTCCCAGTTAGCTAGCGCGCTGAAATTTTCAGGGAAGCTTTGTTTCTGATGACAATACAATATTCAATTATTATTATTACTAAATTTATCAAATGAAACATTTTATTGATCATTTTAGACTCCTATTGATTTGTACAAAAAACGACATAACCTAGTAATTGTAATTTGATAAAAACAAGGTTCGGTACTTTCCTCTTCTGGCTTACTGAAAAACAAATGAAAAATCATGAAGAAGGGAGCACGCGATTGGCTGAGTAGTGGTCACGCGGTGTTTGTGTACAAACCTATGCAAATCTGACTGATCCGGAAGTAGAATGTTGATGTTCGATTTGCACGCGAGGGCAAAATGGTGAAAGAAACGGCAACACAGAAGAAACTTCGATTGGAAAAGGCACGCCAGAAGTATCAGGAGAAGTGCAATGCAGAATACAGATTGGAAAATCCTCCTAAACGACCAAAAATTATGGAAGAAGGTGAGTATCAGAAGAAGCTTGAAAAAGATCGAAACCGAAAATCTGCTGCTTTAGCGAAGGAGACAAAAATGAAAAACGTGGGGCGCCGTGATTTTCTTACAGTTTCTAATACTGTTGACACTCTACATGCTCCCTAATAAAACTCAATAGTATTATCTAATCAATAGTAATATAACTTTTACATCTTATATTAACAATGACCGATAAAAACTTTTACTTCGGCGCCCCACGTTTTTCATTTTTTGTCATAATGCTCACGCAGTTTGCGATCGCTTATAGTAGAGTGATCGCTTGCATTATTGTGATGTATAGCATTTATTTTCTACTCTTTAGTTCAATCAGAAAACGTGTTTTTTTTAAAAATGTTAATGATAGTTATTTTATGTGTATGCTTTAGAAGAAACTATCATTAGTATTACATTTGTGGGCCTCGACTATACAAAAGTCAGTGTATAACTTTACTATAAACGACTCATATTATGTATCCATTATACACATATAAGGGTGTGTCACCACTATACAATACACACGATTTGCTTCCCTATGCAATACACACAATATGTTTCTCTATACATGAAAAAGGATGAGTCTCCAATATACAAAAGTCAAATTGTAACCCCCTATACAAGAGTGAGGATGTCTCCACTATACAAGAGTCAATATCTGTCTCCATTATACATGACACATAATTTGTCTCCCAATGAATGACACAGTGTGTGCCTCCACAATACAAGATTTAATGTGTCTCCATTAAACTATACTCATGATTGTCTCCTTATACATGGCACATGATGTATCTCAAATATACAAAAGTCAAGATGTGTCTCCACTATACAAGAGTCAATGTGTATCTCCACTATACATAACTGTGATGACGCTAGTTTAAGTCAAGTAGATAAACAGACTATAGCTAGCTGGGTGGAGACCAATGGACGTACAGGAGCTGACCGGTCACGTGGGACGGTCAGCTGACCACTGAGGCGTGGGCTAGTAGTAGATTAGCACAGAAGGTGTTAGGAAGCGGTCAGAGACGGTCGAGAAATGTAGTTAGTTAGGAGTTGATAATTAGCTAGCGAGGAGAGCAGAATGTGTTAGGTTGTATTAGGGAGCAGACGTAGTTATGTAGAGAACAGTTATATAGTGTTAGGATTGGTCATGGGAGTGTGTAGTTAGTAGTAGTAGTAGTAAACAGTATACAGTAAAGAATGGATTAGTTAGGTTAGGTAGGAAGCTGATTATTAATTTTAATAAAGAACATTGTATTTTGAACTTGAACTCTCAAAATCTTTTCTGTCTCTTGTTGGTCTGTCTTGTATGGATATTTCATCATCAATTCATATACCTTCAAAACTGGGAGATTCCCACTTAAAAATCCCCACCTTCAAATAACACAGGATGTAGGTCTCCACTATACAAGAATCAGGGTGTGCCACATTATACATGACACATGATGTGTCTCCTTATACATGAAACAGGATGTGTACAACTTTCCCATGGCAAACACTATTCACAGTTATGATAATCTCCACCTTTTGAATAACCACGCCTGATTATTTTAGTAACTGACTGACATAAGGAAATTCCAATTATAATAACAAATTAACGTCCTTGAATACTTTACCAGAAGTATAGCACATCACGTAGTTAGGGGATTTTCTACAGTTACTTAGACACAGCATTTATAAATCTTGAAACGTACCTAAACCTAACGCTAAATCAAGCATTACCTGAAAGCTTTAAACTAAACTCATTAAACATAGCCTCTGTCTGAGAAGTAATAAAACTAGCCCTAAACCTGGATTTAACTTAAACATAGCTCTAAAGTTTAACTCATTAAATAAGCTTTAACTTGTTCTTATTCTCATTTTCATCATAAACAGAACAATTAGAAATGGGAAAACCCATGCCATGTAAAAGTGTACAGCAAATAAATAAGACCCGTACATCTATTTTCAAAATTATTTTTAAAAGTCGGTCGAGGCTAGCACACACACACACACACACATATATATATATATATATATATATATATATATATATATATAATATATATATATATATATATATATATATATATATATATATATATATATATATATATATATATATATATATATATATATAAACAAGGACTTTCCCCGTGTCTTAAATCTCACAGCTACAAAATTAAGCAATGAAGTAACTTAAGTATCGCAGCATTACTTAGTGGATCAGTTTTTCTTCTTTTCTGACCGTCTTAAGTATTCATCGAAGGGGCAAATATTTTTTTAAACTGAAAAGATATTTTAAAATTCGATAAGGTCACTGAGCATGTAGGTTTACAAACTTGATGTTTCAGTTTGCTGAGCTGTAGTGTGCTATTCTGTGCATAGTTTTATCAAATAAAGATATGCGTTATAAGGTGGTTCAAAATTTGTAATGATAGACGCAACCACTAGTAAATAGAATTTAAAAAAAAAAAACATTGATGTTATATGTAGCTTGAATCAAAGATTTCTTGTCCTTAGCGTCGTGCTAAAACTAAACGGACTAGAACTACACTACAAAATATACAACACGACAAAATGGCGCTGTGGTAGACTGTCAAGGTCGTAATCTTGGCAGAGTTGACGTTTCCTGGTTTCCCAAAAATACGACCACCATTTTATTAGGCAACAACTTTTTGACCTCTGTTCCTGCGATCTTTGTCGACCTAGGTTACCTTCGTCGGCTCGACTTGTCTAGCAACATAATTGAAAGTCTAACTTTTTCTGGCCTAGAGAAATTAGAATATCTAAATTTAACGTTTTAAGCTATTCCTTTTTTGACACGATGCCAGGTCTAGAAGCGTTGGACTTGTCTAGAAATCAGTTACCAAATGATTTTATGTCAAACTTCGGAGACAGGCTGTTTCAAAAACTCACAAACCTTCAACAACTTGAACTGTCGTTCAACTCTTTAAACTCATTGAGCTCAAAGACGTTTTTGTATAATAGAAATCTAAAAGAGTTGTTTCTTGCTGGGAATAGATTTCGACAAATTCCGTTCAACCTACAATACACCCCAAACTTGAGGGTTTTGGATCTGAGGTTCAACGACCTGATCACTCTTACAGCTGATGTGAGATACAGTTTAGAAAAGCTGGCTACAGACAACAAGGGGTTTAATTTGTATTTAGAAGGGAACATTTTATCCTGTGGCTGCCATGACATCCAATTCCTTCTGTGGATGAAGCTGACAATTGTAAATATGGATCTGGATAGAAACTATTCTTGTATTGACACTGACGGGGTTTCTAGATATACAGAAATCATAACAGATCTTGGAGCATATTGGCGACAATGTACGGGAGAGTCTTTTCTTTGGTTTTCTATTATAATGTTCTGTTTAATGTTCATTGGGTTTTTGCTGTGTTTTTTTGTTACCAAATATAAAACGTACATCATTTCTGGACTGCTGAATTCGTTTAGTGAAACCTTTCTAAAGAAACCTTCCAACTACGAGATTGGTGTCTTCATTGGTTATGCTGATAGAGATTACCAGTTCGCTTGTCATGACCTCATGCAGTTTATCGAGGACACGCTGGGGTTAACGACCTTTATTCGTGACCGTGACCTCTCACCTTCAACTGACCTGGCCTCTGCCACTGTGCAGGCTATTGACAGAAGTTGGCGCGTTCTTCTGGTTGTCAACGAAACGTTTTTGTCACGTGACCGCTGGTTCTTGTTCATCTGTAGAGCAGCCACATCTGCTTTGACGTCTGCTAACCCTAAAAGGATTGTCGTTCTTGTTGAGCACCAGTTACGTCACCGTCTGCCAGCCGAACTGTCGAGAGTTGTTTTGGAGGATAACATTGTTGTTTCCAGAGGAAATTTATTAGACTATGAGCTGAAGGAAAATCTAAGAACAAGATTGGTAGAGTAGAACCACTTAACACAAGTTTAAATAATGTTTGCTGTATATTTCTTTGGCTGGGCAGTTCAAATCTTTCATTAAAAATAGCATCAAATTAAAACTGAATTTCATTGTACCAACAAAAAAATAATTAATTATAAACATGTTAGATGTATGGCTATTACATTAGAATGAACTAATCTATAACTGTAATAATAGTCGTTTTGTTTATTCAATTAAAAAAAAACAATGGTGTATTATTTATTTTTAATGTACGTTAAATAAATTTAAATAAAAATAGCTGTTATTTACTTTCATTTTTTTTCGATTTTATGAATATTATCTTTCTGCTATACACACCTATATATATATATATATATATATATATATATATATATATATATATATATATATATATAAATTTAAATATATATTTATATATATATATATATCTATTATTTATTTAAACATGCACTGATACTTTAAAATAACATGCCGTAAATTTGATACTGAAAGTGTATGACCTATTAGTGGATGATATGAATGTATGACTCGTAAAACACATGGTTACGACTGACAGTGCATCAATACAGTGTTTATTCAACCGTTTCACAAACAATCTACTGCATTCATGTTCATACTTTGAATTCCCCTAAGATTTAACCAGGGCGGCAGGTATTATAGTTATGTAAACTTCTTGGTAAATAGGCATGTGAAAATGGTGGTTGGGTGACATCGTTAAGGATGTTTTCAAAAGCTTTTTTTTTTGTTGCCTTTAGTCCATATTAGTCAATGTTGAAGCTAGATGGTTCGGGGGAGGTGGTGAAGGGCCCTATGGACAGCACCCAACGGACTAGAAAAATATTGAAAACACAGTTGCATTTTTAAAAAACCTTGTCCAAACGAATTTTTGAAATGTTTCTACATCGAAATTTTGTCGCAAAAATAAATATTGTTAAAGGATAAAGACTGATAAGAAGCGTCCCGACATTTTCCAAATTGTGAAGGGGCGGGGCCGTTTTTTATAATTGTGAATAACATTAAATCTATGGATATTTGAGGTGTAAATGTGATGGTTCTCTCTGACAATATTCACAACAAGTGAGATCTTAAGCAATTTATAATTTAAACACCAAGATGAACACAATTTTAAAGGTAACAATGTTTTTTTTAAACTTGTTTTCATTGACCATTGATGTCTGCTATCATTTCATTCAAAATTGTTTTTCTTCAAATTTTAATAGTTGATATTTTTTTATTGCTTGATTTTTTCTGGTGCTATTTTGTTATGTTTTTTTTTGGTTTGCATGTGGGTGTTATATCTATATGCAACAGTACGTTTGAACTTGAAATGATTAAACTCACTGAAATGTTCCACAACATAAGAAACGCCTTTAAATATCACATAACAGGTCCAGTTTTCAATGCTATCTTTGTCTCCGGTGCAATATTTTCATAACCAGTTTTAACAGTCTGTTTTACATAGTAAGCTCCCTTTTATATCTGAAAAATCGAGCAATAGGAAGGGTCGTGTGACCTTCTTAGGTCTTTTATTTATTTATATTATTTAGTCTCCTGAGTAATGTGGTTGACCTTGGGAGAGTTGTTAGTTCACCGGTTCTCATCGGTCAACTGAACTCCGTCACGTCCTGTGAATGGATTGTTTAATCCCCAGCAGACCCTCGACCAATGATCTTGCGACCGTGAGGATCCTTAACAGATCCTCAACCAATAGTCGTAGGACTTTTGAGTGATCTCCCCTAATACAGAGCTGTATTTAATCTCGTGCAGTTCAAGTCGTCTAAAGGCAGCTAGATTGACCTTTGGACTAGGAGAGAGATGTGCCGTATGTTTTGTGCGCCATTTTCAGTTGTGCAGTTTGTGGCATATTTTATCACCTTATATAAGGTATTGTGTGACCATTTGTAGTATTACTTATATTTTTGTTCTGGTGTATAGTTGAACCCTTTGTCACATCGGTGATAGGTTGACCTTTTTTGGGTTTCTGTTGTTGTAGAGGCAATATGTCTCTTATTAATATTTGTGGTATTTATCATGCCATTCAGTTGTGTCAAGTTATGTTCTTTAATGGTGTTTAATATACTAAGCCACAGCTATATATAGTGATATATAGTGTTTTTCTTTAACTGTAAGTTGGAGTTTTGAGTTTATTTATTGTACTCTTAAAGTCTGTACATTTTGTACAAACCCAGTGTCGTAGTCTTGTACACTTATTAAAAGGGTATTGACAGTTTTAAGTCGTGTTGAGTCTCTTCAATGTGTCGTGTTTTACCCCTAGAAATCAATAACGAGCTCACGTCAAGTTGTTGGGATTTCATTAGTGTGACTTCTGTCAGTGCCATCCCAAACGAACCCGGGGTGTCCGCTCCCTCCGCGGCTGTCGGAGAGTGGTCATAACAGTCGCAACCCACGATTTCTAGTCGATTTTTTGAGAAGCACAATTTTGTGAACATTGAGTTGTCGTTCATAACAGTCGTGCACTCAAATGAGAAGTTAGCTCTTCCCTTCCCGGTATCTACGTGTCATAAGAAGCATTACTTGGCGTCCAACCATAAGTATTTTTTTGGGGCGATAGGGGGTGAAAGGGGGAGGGAAAATTCACACAAGAAACAAAGAAGGAAGAAGATAAGTTAACCATACGACAGAAAAATTTATTTCGAAAATATTTAAAATTTTATACATTAAAATTTAACACTTGTTACTACACCACAATCTTTACTGCAGGCAACTGAAAGAGATACAAACACTACTGTAGGCAAGTGAAAGAGATACAAACACTACTGCAGGCAACTGAAAGAGATACAAACACTACTGCAGGCAAGTGAAAGAGATACAAACACTACTGCAGGCAAGTGAAAGAGACACAAACACTACTGTAGGCAAGTGAAAGAGATACAAACACTACTGCGGGCAAGTGAAAGAGATACAAACACTACTGCAGGCAACTGAAAGAGAAACCTTCCCTTCCCCACTGAATAAAAAACTTCTCCCATCCCCAATGTCACACATCGTCACAAAAAGCAAGACCCCACATTCAAAAAGACTTCACACCTCGGACAACATGTTTTTGTCTTTTAAACAGATTGATTTCAGCTTGGTATGTGTCTGACCATATTATACTTTCATATGCTGATGTCAAAGAAAAAGGTGAGCTCTCCTCACATGTTTATATGTGTGTGTATATTTGTGTATGGGTGAATGTATAGTGTTAACAGCAGTAATTTGACCTCGGGCGTAGGGTGTTCGCTATAGACAGCAGCGATAAAAGTCTCGCAATTGGTTGAAAGGCAAATGCAAATATTTAAAAAAATTGATGTTATTAAAAATATATGGTTGTAAAAAACAACTGTTTGTTTTCTGTCTGTCTTTACTTAAAAAATAGATATGTTTGATGTTTTATTTTTGTATTTTCTGTTACTAAATATCAATCTTCAAAAACCATAAAAACAATTTTGTTGTTTAAATTTATTCACTGAATTTTAAACTAAGGTCTTTTCTAGGCCATGTGTTTTAAACAATGAACAATTTTATTTTTAAAAAATTCATTAAAAAAGTTTTGATACTTAATGACCAGAAGGTTTGGTTTATTGGTAATCGAACACGTATTTTCATAAGAGCAAAGCAATGTGGTGTCTTATGAAATTCAGAACTTTGACTTCCATTATTTGTTGCTTGCATGGTGTTAATACCGTCATTGTAAATTTAGCCGTGAATTACGGGAAAAAAGACTCATGTGTTCAACTTAACTAATCCCTGTTATGGTTGCCACACCATATAAATTCACAATGACGAAGACAAACCTGTACCTTTTGTTGGTAACTGAGTATTTAACAAATAGTGTTGCCTTTCGAAATGGCGAAAGCGTGCTTTCATTATACATTCTCAGTTTGTTCTTAGTCGCATTAATATCTGTCCTGAATTCTGGATGTTCTATACGAGGATGACATTCACAAATTATCCCGAGTTAATGCTGCACCCATTAGTGCCATTACGGCGTTCGGGCAAGTGTCTTTCGAGAAAGCTTCCAGCATACAGTATTCTGAAATCTCTTTCCATAGCCTCCACAATTCAACACATTTCTGCACAGGTTTTTAACGTCAACTGAGTGTGCACCAATTACAACTTCTAGTATCATTTTCAGTTATTCTTTGCATTATTTTAGCTCTTGACAATGAGTTTGATATTTATTTGCAAAAAATTGCAAGTTTCGGCAGTTTGCTCAAAGTAGTTACATGGTCTTTAATTTTCTCATCCGCTTCCTTATTCCTCTGTTAATAATGAATCTTCTGATGTTTAACTTGTATCCGTAACTAAAAGGTTTACTAAAACCTGTCATGATATCTTTTACTTTTTGATCTTCTGGCTAATTCATGGGAGTGAATATCGTCAACCCATTAAGACATAAAGTATGTAGAAACAATTCTCTTACATGTAGAAACAATTCCCTATTTTCTTCCTTGAGACGCGGTTAAACCCCGTCTGCTGAAGTAGAGTGTAGGTGGCGGTTTCAACACGTCTCAGTTCCGCAATCAGCAATAGATTTTGTACAATAATACTTTAAAAAATACTTAGCCTTGACGACTATCACTCAGTAATGTAGACTACAAGCTGACACCATGTAACATTACTTAACTCGTTGTACGTAGAACACAACAATAGACGCCACCAAGTTTACTTAAACATTTCAAGTATGTAAAGTCTCTGACAAGAGGTCTGATCACAAGGTCTCGTTCATAGTAACGTCGGGATGTAAAAACACAGCTTATAAACTAGGCCAACACAGACACTACATTTTCAATGGCAATCACTACGAAATATATAGGCCTATATGTAATAAAAGGTACGAAACAATAATAAACAAAACATAGTATAATAATTTTCTTAACATAGAAATTATAATATTGAATATTGCATTATCTAAATAACAAGACGGGAAGAATAGGTAAACCTCGTCAGAAATTGCATTATATGGACAAGTATGTAACCTATTTTTATTTAAACTATTTAAG